CCGATTGGATGGGAGAAACTCGTCAATCGAACGAGCAGAAAGAGTCCCCTCGATCGATCTCCCCCGTTTGGGAGAAACGGAAGAAATGGAAATTCACGGCTTTCACGGATAATAGTTGAACGACAGAGATGGCAGTTGACACACACTCGGACGTAAAAATGTTGAACGCGGAGTAATCTATCCTATTCCAAATCCAAACTGCCATTCGGCGAATGATAAACAAAAGGGCGATCAAAGACTAAAAATCCGGTAAAAGAATTTCATTTACGGCTTAACGGGTTCTGGCCGTCATTCGTTATAGGCTTACTCTTTCTTTCCCACTCTCGCTTCTCTCGCTTCTCTTCTTTCATGTTGAAAAATACCATATGAATATAATGCGTTAGTACGCGCCCTAGCGTTTCATTGTTCGACGAAAGTGGAAAGGGGGGAGGGGGGGGGCAGGGGGAGGTGAATTTAATCACTTCCTTTGTACTTCGATTGATTGTTTAGGTGCCGAAAAAAAATCCCGGAAGCATTTAATTGCTACGTTATCAGCACCTTGACAGACACAGTCACATCATAGATACATTTTTATTTGACAGAAAGTTATTTTCTTCTCTTTTGTCAATCAATTTTGCTTAGATGCGCGCATGGCGAAAGTTAAGTATTACTTTATCAATCTGAAACAATGTGATTAATATATTATACGTAATATTATAAAACTTTCGACATTTACATAGTAAAAAGCAGAAATCGTTTTTAACTTGGTAATCATCAAGATTTACAGATTTATTATGCGCTTTGCTGTTCCTTGCCTTTTTCTATTACCCATCCCAACAATGATGAATCCCTTTCCGAGAACTGATTAAAGTAACGTGGACAAAAGTGCGTTCATTAGTCTTTAATAAAAACGTAATCCTTGTCGGTGGAACGTCATATGAAGGATTAAAATGTTGTCAAGAAGCTTGACGGAAGTGTTTGCGAATCGTCCGGCAGTTAATATTATAATCTCACTGTCAGCATGAGAATTCGCCAAAGTACTGCGGAATAAATACTTGCAAAATACTTACAGAATTATATCGTAATTACTACATCGAAGTAAAATTGAAATAGGACTTACTCTATTGATTATTTTCGTGAACATACGCTGGACGATCGCTGGAACGAGAGAAGGGACGGTTAAAATAAGGTACGATGAGAAAGAGAGGAGGGGAGGGAGAGGGAGAATACGTCGGAACGAAGTAACTCGAACTGAACTTGCCAGAGTGCATTAGGAAGCATAAGCTCTCCGATTTAAGGCCGGACGGATGTATTTTTAGTCGCACGTCGAAGCTCGTTCGCAAGTTGATGACGGATCGTTATCAGCGAGTTAACGGGATTTTACTTCGTGAATTCCGCATTTCTCGTACGCTCCATCCGCGGAATAACCGGCAAAACTGGGCACGTCATAATAGGAATTCAGGAAATTGGGTTGTAATATCGGTGCAGTAGATACAGTGAACATATTCCAACGATTGTGGAGATCGGTGCGTTGGTTCAGTTCGTACAACGGGGCTCATTTATTCCACGAGAAACCAAGTCACGTACACCCCGCGTTCGCTTTACTATCCGTCATTCAATCCGCACTGTCCGTTGCAGTTTGCACATTATGGACGATATTAGATATCCTCGTCGACCGATAATTAATATCTACTCGAAATCAGGGGTGTGTGTGCGCGCGCGCGTGTGTGTGTGTGTGTGTGTGCGTGTGTGCGTGTGTGTTTGTGTGTGACTTACTTTTGTTCAATTAATGCGCGATATGTTCATTAAATCCAACATGAGAGCGGCGATATTTTTTCGAAGTTAAATTAAATTGCGAGCCTTGAGGGTGCATTTTCTACCTTACATGAATACGGCGGAAAAGTAACGTGAAATTATGATTCTCATGGCTTTCTCGAAAATCACTATCCGCGATGCGGCACGCTTAAAACGACTATCCGCGATCGAAAAACGAAAAGCGATTTAATGATGAGACTCACGCGACTGCGTTTTATAGAGAAAACTTTACATTGAATAATGGGCAATTTTTTTATGAAGTTAATATTTCATTCTAGGTAAGCTTCGCGCAGCATTTTACTGTGTGTCTCATTTACAAAAAACTGGATGAAATCGGGCATTTCGTATTTTTCCAGGCATGAGTGATTACCCCGATGGATATTTTTTCACGATATTTCGTCGAAATTCATTTTTCATTTATTTTTGAGTGAGTTTTATACCCGTCTTCGTCGAATATTTTGTGTTATATAAGCTCAATTGTTCTTCAAACAATTCGATTTAATTTCACTGCCGGTATTCATTAGCGAATGCCATTACGTTGGCCAATAGTCGAAGCTTACGTCCGTGAATGAGGGATCTGAATCGAAAGAACAAAGTGTCGCTCACTGTTAGTCACAGGTACGCTATGTCGGGTAAACCAATGCGCATGACGGATGCAGCATTAATGCGCTCGGCTATGATAAACATCGGGGAGAGCAAAAGAATTTACCCCGAAACTGCTGCACGTACAAGTAGGCCAGCATGAATAATGCAAAGCGATACGGAAGACAAGTTCTCTGTGTAGAAAATTGGAAAAACACGGTGCAACGATAGGAGAAAGTCAAGCCCACTTCTCTGTTACGTTACCCTCCTTGAGCGAGACCTCTAATTGCATCTCCTGGATTCAAGGGAGCAAAAACAGTATAACGATACTCGAGGATGCCCCTCATTTCGAGTACACCGGACTACATGCCGCCCTCCTTCTTGGCATGCAACCCTTAGTGACTAGCGATACCCAAGAGTTTCATGGAAATTTTATTGTTTCCACGTGCGCATTTAGTAGACGTTAGCAATCAATAGACCTCTGACTTATCCCGAATGCAGAGTAAAACTCTGATGTATCTCTTTTGGATAAGTTGCGTATGGAACGCAATCTGTACTTTAACTTTGTACATAAGAGAACGTGGAGAAGACCTTTTTGCAGTTTGTGAAGTTCGGGTTCAAGAAAGCAGAATGGTGTAATGTAACGACAGACTTACGAGTATCTTCCTACCAAGAGCATCTCGGCGTCAACATCCGGAAAATCATGTCGAAATTCAAAGTATTTCGTTAATTGCCCCACTTAGCCTTGCTCCCACTTAAAGTATCCTAATTACGCTCCCAGAATATTTGAATCAAACTTAGATATATCGGAGACTGGAGATGCATTTAAAAATTTTATAAACTTTATAACTGTAATTTTCAAGATTATAAAAAGAAATTTCTGAATTGCAATGATGTGCTTATATTCGCAATCATTTATACAATTCTATTATGTCTCCATAGTTTTTTTAATTTTTAATTTTTATTAAATTTTCTTTTTTATTTTAAGATAAAAAATCTCAAATTAAAAATTATGATTATTATTATTATTATTATTATTATTATTATTATTATTAGTGTCCAAAAAAGTAAAGAGACTTGGACTAATAATTAATAAGATATTTTGGATATTGGATATTTGGATATTGTTAATTTTCTAAAAAAATTGAATTTGTTAGCTCATTGTTGATCGAATCTTGGACTCTCATTAGCTCATTATTATCATCACGAGTGATCGCGCATCTAAAAGTCACTACCATTTCTGTTAAATGTTATTTGCTAAACAGATGTGCACGGAAAATCTCTTTCAATTTACTCGTCTCGTCTATTCCATTACGTGATTATAAATTATTATTCTAATTCTCGTCTCATTAGAAACTCGGTGCGTTCAGCAAGGCAGATAACGAACGCTTTGTCGGATCAAAATGGGCGTGGAATAAAGCTGACTGGCGCGCCGCGATTGTTCCGCTTTAAGTATCGCTTCGCATTAGCTACGACGAAGAAGCGAGCAATTTAAGTTATGGCCTGGCTCGACTGAGACTGCTCTCTTATCGCATTAACGTAGGAACTCCGTAAAATGCACAAGAGCAGAGAGGGAGGGAAAGAGAG